ACTTTTATCATTTCATTTTTTTATTTTTTTTTTTTTTTTTTTTTTTTGCAGTTTATTCAGAATGCAGACGGCACGACCAGACTGTCACTCGTACCTTGCTCCTTTATTTGCCTGATCTGTTTCACAGTTTCCTTCAGGATTGCACATTTGTCAGGTTTGACGTTGAAGTTGTCGATGTCGTTGAAGTTGGCGAAGATCAGCTCGGCGAGCTCTTCGATATACTTGTTCTCGTGCTCGCGGTTGCGCTTCTCGTTGCTCCGCTTGGGACTGCAGAGACATAAAAACAACGAGAGGGGAAAACAGTCATTAAAAAAAAAAAAAAAAAAAACAATGGGGGACCAATGTTGGGGAAAATTACAAAACTATCAATTTTTTTTTTTTTTTTAAAAAAAGATCACTTAGGTGGCTAATTTATCTTTTCTTTTAAATCACAACACTAAACAAAAAAGATACAAGCATTTTCAACAGCGAAGAAATGACACCGTCCTTTCCTAAATCCCGGTGTTACCCTCCTGGGTTGGAATAACTTTGAGTGAGTTGCTCCTTGAAGACATCTGCCAGTGTCTCCCACTCTTCACTTGAAGCTGTGAAGTGTTTGAATTGTTTCAAGCCACAGCATCTCAAAAGAATAAATATCTGGACTATACTCCATTCCAGGACCTCCCATCTGTTAATTTTGAACTGGCCCAGATCCGCTGCAGCAAAGGATCTCCACAAGACAATTCTTCCACCTCCATACTTTACAGTTTACATGAAGCTCGTCTCCGCTAATGAATTTGGATTATTCTTAAGATACTGGTGTCTAAATAATTCAGTGTTGGATTCGTCTGTCCAAAGAACATTGCTCCAAAAGCCATCGGTCTTTCTCTTGTTTAGCTCTGGCAATATTTAAGCTAGGTTTGCAGTTGATGCACTGAACTAGGACAGAGGCAGTATGCGATAAACGTGCCAGCCCCGCCCAGTCGTGTTGGCGCGACTCCTGGTCCTTTCACTCAAACTGGACAATCTGGAATGCTCTCTTGCAGAGCAGGTTCACCTGCACTGACATGTATAGGAACTCTCTATCATGGCTCCCGTTGGAGAATACCGCACCAAAGTATGCATCAAGTATATAGGCCACACCGCTCGCTCGGCTCGCGTGCGCTCAATGGGAACCCCTAAAAGCACGACTGCAACTCCGCCTTAAGTCCGTTTTTCTTGACGAGCAAACATTGCCTCTGCTGAACTCTCTTTCTGATCGTACAGGAATGCACTTTCATATCAACAACGGCAAGAGTTGCTGTAAGTCTAATGATGACACTTTACATGTAAGGCTTGTCACTATCTGGCTCACATACGACTATGGCTGTTTTAAATGATTATAGTGATCAAGTAATCAACTGATTGTTCTGAGCATCTAGTAGCTACTTAAAGAAACATATGACAGAGAAAATGCTAGTCAACAATTCAGTTCCTATTTAAGAAAACACATTTAAGACACACTTAAATACAGTATGATTCAATCAAACTCTTAGTCTCATTATTTCACAAATTAAAAAGCAAACTTAAAAAAGAGACATTGCCTTTTTGTAACACTTCACTTTCAGTCTCGAGTTTGAAGTATGAAAAAGCTTCTTTTTTTGTTTTTTACACATATTTCTAATCTATTTTTTATTGTTTTTTCACATCGTTATTCTCCTTGATCAGTAAGTACAACAAGTGAGAAAATGGAGCTTGAAGATATTAATACAAGCTAAAAATGGGGAGAGTAATAAGTCGGCGGAGCACAAAGTATGTTAAACTGACAGCAGTTTAACGTAATATGCCAAGTTTACTTTGATCTCAGGCCTCTAAAGTTAATTAGTCGGGTTGAATCAGGCTCTGACACGACGTTTACAGGCTCGATCAAGTTGGTTTTGATTGTTTCAGGCCCAACCTACACCTTCATTTTCCTGCTGACGTGTTGCCGCATTGTGGAGGCGCCATTGGAAAGCTTTCTGTGCCTCTCCATCTCCCTCCATAGCTGCTAATAGCACTTAGCATTCTTCATCAGCTCATTAAAGCGCTGCACACCACACACATAAAGTTTAAAAACAAAACAAAACAAAAAAAATCATATGATTACAGTGCACTAAAAAGTAATCATAATTGAACGATGCGTCAAGGAATTCTAATAATCAAGGTACTCGAATAGCTTTCATGAATCGTTTCAGCCCTACACAGTACTGTGTGCTCCTACGGTTCAACCTCAAGTCTGTCAATGTGGTTGTGTTGGTCGCTTCGGTATTTATAAGCGCACCCAAACTGATGCCCAAGATGGTCATTGTGGTTAAGGGTCAAGACTGCAATCAGGCCGTCCCATCCTCTCCACTCTAAATCGCTGTGTGAACAAAGGCTGATAGAGCTCAGTCCACGAGAGTGGATTCATGTGAAGGCCACTGACTGCAGAATCTCATCTCTGTATCCCTCTACATTGAGATTTCCACCTGGAGCGACGAGCCTCGTTTCTTTTTTTTTTTTTCCAGCGAGGGAAGTACCGCCCCTCGCCATCACGCTGCCTCCACCTAAAGGTGTTTCGCATTAGCAGGGAGAAATTGCCAAGTTTTTCATGGGGTACAACCCACATCCTCAACCCTGTTGCTCAAGCCATAAATGTATTTTTCTTACACTCTGTTACTCTGGCACCATTTAAGGGGGAAATAAAACAGCTTTCCAACAGTTTAACATTCATTATCAACAGGTTCTTACATGTGGCACCGTGGACGACCTTCCTAAACAAGCTCAACAAAACTAGATACGTTTACGCGGGACATTGGAGCTCCTGTAAAAACTCCTGGTATCTCCTGGAAAAGATAACTCATTATCTCCTCGAAGGTTCTGGGTCAATTTGTGCCCTTATTTTAGATCCAAACATTGCTCTGTCATCCCAACCTACTTTCCTTTAAACCTGCAAACAAGCTGCTTTGTACTTTAAAATAATTCAACAGAGTTAATTATATAGAAACACTGAATGTGATTGTTCAAGATTTTATATGACCCCTCGTTTGATTCTTGTCCGTGCACATTTGTATTGGTTGGCATTTATGACATAGAAGATAGTGACCAATATTAAAACCGAATACTCAGAGTCCTATAAGGCTGTTTTCTTACCGTAGACTGTGTGGAGATTTTAAAGTAAAATAAAATATGAAAAAAAGATTACTTTACATCATTATCTGTAAAACTGAGTATGACATTTCCTGAACAGAACTGCAAGAGTCTGAAATCGTAGATGGGTAAATTGACCTGCACCGCTGCTTGATGGAGTTTCCTTTTTAGTTTCGAAATCGTCAGCAGAGGGAAGGTAGTTGAATCTGCAGTGGCCTGGTAATTCGAATTACTAACACGAAGAAAAACTAAAATCTCTAGGTAGCGGTGTGAGATGAAATAAGTTGGCAAGTAGGACTTGATCATTCTTGAGGGTTACCTGGGTCCTATGAGTTCGGCGGAGCATTCTTTGCGTTTTCGTGCTTCTGCCCTTGCAGGGTCAGATGAGTTTTCACCGACTCCACTCATCATCAATGCATATCAGCGTCTGCAAATGGAACACACAGGAAATCACAGTTTTAAATAAGAAGCAACAATTTCACTAGCTAACTGACTGAGCAAAAGGTAAGACAGCAACGGTATGTGAAAGGATGACAATGCAGGACTCGGTGAGGGCCCATATGGCCATCTACATACAGCACACATACAAACACACGCCCACACACACACGTACACAAAGTCTGTGCTGGAAGCACAAGTTGATCCAGTCCGGGAGAAATGAGTGAAAATGGAGCAGAGGTAGAGATTCAATCATTTCTCTCCGATGGCACAGTTCTCCCCAGAGAGACTGAAATGAGAGCACCGCGCTTCGCCTGCAGCAACAGTCTGTGCGCTCAACCGTGTGCTGAGAAAAACCCATTCGCTACACAAAACCAAGTGAAGCCAGCTCACATTCAGGACAGAGAGTTTACAGTAACGTGTGCCTGCGTCACTGTACGGACCGCCATTCGCCTGGAAAAACTCGAGGTCAATCAAAACCACAACAATGAGGACTCCTACCGTTTGAGGTTATGTGGAAATAACACTCGCCTACTTAGAAATGTCTTATAAGGTCACTTCCTATACGGTACAATAAATTTTATTTATTTTTTTTCTTTTGTTAAATACATTTGGGAGTCTCTTGACGGAAGCAAACAGTTGAAGCACAAAGAGTTAATGTGGCAGAGAGGCAGCTGGAAGTGGAACAGTGTTTGTGGTAAAAGGCTATTTACTTGTTAATTTGGGATAAAAAGGAGTACAATGAGTTTACTTCGGATACTCAAAAAGAGGGATTGCTCCAAAGTTAATCAAAATCAGCTGTCCTTTCATCCTCGGATAATGCTTTACCAGTTGTCGTGCATTTTTATTTTGCTAAATTATAACTGGGTCCAAGTTTCGCTATATACGAGACGATTGGTTTGAATGGTCTCGTATGTAGAGACCATTCCTATGTACCGGTGGTCTTCAAATCCAGGCAGTGAGGAGTGGCATCGTGCAAATTTTAGACGCGTCTCTGCTTCAGCACGCCCGAGTCAGATCATGAGCAGGACACCGACGATGTACTTCAGCCGTCTCACCGTCACAGAACCTACAATAAATTCTACTGTCAGTTTAACCCTCCTGTTGTCCTCGGGTCATTTTGACCCTAGGACAACAGGAGGGTTAAAGCAAGAAGAAGAAAAAAAAAAAGTCATAAATAAAGCTAAAGCAAAACTGAACCCTCCAGCATGACAATGACATACCAGTAAATCCACCAAGGACTCGCTAAAAATGTAGAAATGGAAAGTTCTATGCGGAGTCAAACCCTCGTCACCGATCACTTTGAGATGATGCAACTTCATACTATCTGTATTTTCAGGAAACCTCTCAAACATCTCGCTCCAGAAAGTTAGGAGCGGGGCAAACTTTTACATATTATTTTTTTTAAGTGCAAATAAATCACATTTCTTCCCAGAGATTAGAAATTTTAACATGGCTACTTGAATAATTATTTAAAAAAAAAATGTTATTAAATTACATGGAGTGTCTTAATTCATTTCATACGACAGTCAGTGGATAAATTAGACACATTTAGGCCTTAAGAGGATCTGTGATTGGTGCCATTTAAACAAAGAGATTTTATTACATTATTCAATGATTTATGGCATAAACAATAAAGAAGTTATACCTAGAGAACAATGGTTTTTTGAAGATTCTACAATTGAAATGAACCCGGAATGTCACAATTTTTTGAGTTTAAACTAAACATTACATGCTTTCCATGACAAGCTAGCAGATTTCTCCCCTTGACGATCACAGATGAAGTCGGCGCCCAGTGGGTGCTGCTGCCCTTCTGATGCACTCAGCTGATGCTCAACAGAGTGTGGCAGATTTCTGGCCACAGTTGCATATTGAATAAGAGTCAATAAATATTTTCTTTTTATCATTATTATTGACCTGCCAGAGCAGAGTGGCTGGGGGAAAAAAAATAAAGATTTCCTGCACAGAGAAAAATAAAATTTTCCATAACAGATTCAGCAAACAAAAGCTTTAAAGTTGGATCGGTTAGGCTCTTAAAACCAACATAAGCAGTTCTCAAAAGCTAAAACTGTTCCTTCTCTATCCTACTCTTAAGTTACCACAAGTAGAATTTGAGGGCACTAAATGAAAAACCATCAATTATTAACCGAAGTGCAGTAATATCTTATTAATTACCATCGTCCTCTGAAAATCTGTCAGCAGCTAATGGACTCGGGTTTAAATATATAGAAGGATACCTTCAGTATATTAGAAAGTTAAAAACTCATTGCCTTAAAATAAACGGTTACATTAAAAAGGATGTAAATAAAGTTCCTTAAGGCAGTTGATGTTGCTAAACCTCATTGTACTTTATTGAGATTTTATGTGATGGAATAAGCCACAGTAAGGCATAGCTATGAACAGAAGGGAGGGCGTCTTGAGGGTAAAGTGTATCATTAGTTTTTCTCCCACACAGCAGTTTGAATGCAGGCCAAAAAGTTCAACTTTGGTCTCGTCTAACCAGAGCGCCCTCTTCCAATGGATTGTTGCAGGCCGCAAACAGGACTTCTTACTAGCGTCTGTCACAATAAACAATAAATCAATTAATCGCATGATAAATTAAAGCAAGCTCAATCTCTTCTATTTGTACAATTTCATCGTTTTTGTTGTTTGTTTTTTTTTTTTTCCTCTTTCTACCAAAAACTGGAAAGCAAAAGTCTTCAGTCTGGTGCTTTGGTCTCGACTAGCCCTTTATTTGAAGGACAGTTTTGTTTACAGAGACTCCATAATCTTTTTTTTTTGTTTTTATTTTTTGTTGTCTTTTGCTCGTTTATTTTGGATATTTAAAATGTCTTCCAGTTCAAGTGTCGAATGTTAAGATACTCATTAGAATTTAAAGTTTAGCGAATCTCTGAGAATGTGTTCTTGCATTGTTAGGCCGTTACCGTTGTATTACATGAAAATGGTCTCAAAACAACAATATTATTGCTTGTCGCAATAATTTCTGGGACAATTTATTGTCCAGCAAAATTTGTTATCCTACTTTTTAATGCTTTCAACAATAACTTTTGAAGCACACAAATAAAAGTTAGCATCTCAAAAGATTCTACCTCCTGTCCTGTGGATCTCTTTAGCTGCTCCAGAGATACAATGGACCTTTTGGCTACCCGCATGTTTTTTTTTAAATTTTTATTCCATTTTCAGATGATGGTTGAAACAGTACTCTAAGACAGTGTTTTTCAACCACTGTTCCGCGGCACACTAGTGTGCCGTGAGTGATCGTCAGGTGTGCCGTGGTAATTATCCAATTTCACCTANGGTACCGTATTTTCCGGACTATAAACTGCTACTTTTTCCCTAAACTTTGAACCATGCGGATTGTAGCCCGGTGCGGCTTTTCTGTGTATTTTTCTTCAACCACCAGGTGGCTCTCTAGCAGGAAATGAATCATTAGAAGTCAAAATTGTAAATCAAAGAAGAACGCGTTAATTTTCATTTAGAAACAAGCACATGCTAGGATAATATTTGTAACCAAACCCTTCATTGATCTTCTCCAAAACTTTATTCTTAAGCTATTTGCTTTTTTCCCCACATGATGCCATTTATTCACAAATGTACTACAATAAGCCTCTGAGACCTTAACAGAACATCTGTATTTACGTTGAAATTTTAAAAAAAAAAAGTTTACAACAGGACAATTAGCCTTTAAAGGAAACTTTAAAGCATTTAGTTACACTGGATTATTATTTATGGGCAACAGAATAAAGGGAGACAGACTGAAAATGTCTACCACACTTTAAATGTTTTTTTTTTTGTCACATAAAATCCAAACGAACCCCACTGAAGGATGCAGTGAGCAATAACAAGACAAAATGTTTTTTTAAACAGCAGGATCAGGGGGACACGAATACTTCTGCAAGGCACTGAATCTTTGGTTTCGGCTCGTAAAAAGAACGGACCTTTAAATGAAACCCTTCAAAGAGAACATGCAGGTCTTTTCCCAGAGTAGGTGCCACAGCTGGCGCATGCTGTGTTGTGATAGAGTCTCAGCTACCCTTACCATGGAAACAGCTATGACACACACCACTTGCTGCTCTGCCATTACATAAGGAGGGAGCAGAGTGGAGAACGCCAGTATTTAGGGGAGAGCAGGGTAGCATAGCCTGGCAGAAGCTGGCTAAAATAATGACTGAGGTAGTGGCCATGCAAACCTTAGTCTGACTGCCTCCTGCCCTGGAGTGACCCACTGTAAGCTAGCAGTAGCAACTGGCTCGACATGAATAAAGCCAAAGCTTTGGCTACGGTTTTAAACATGTCCTTTTGACAAGTGTCTTGAGTTCCCTTGTTGACTAGTGCTGCGAGTGAACAGACACAAACGCCCGAGTCCACGTGTCCCACTGTTTTGCCATTTTGAACACCGCCATCTTTGTGCAGAGCAAGCTGTGTGCTGGCTGAAAACATGAAACGCAATATTAGAGGTTGTATCATTTTTATTAATGGCAGCAGGCCATTAAACACTAATAGCCAAGGGCCATTCTCCATTTTTATTGGCCGGGGCAGGGCTTTCAAAAGCACAAGTTACCATGGGGATTCTGCTTCTTATTGGCCGAGCGTGCCTCGCTGAGCCAGATATGATTGGTCGCCACCATCTCCTTGACATAGCAGCAATGATGGGTCACTCTACATTGAGACAAATAAGTGAGACTTGAAGTACCGAGCACGTCTCAATGACACCAACACAGACGACCAGACGGCCTGGCAAGCAGGCTGCCGGCTGATTCTGTAGCTGGGAAAGGGGAGCGGGGTCTCAACACAAGGCAGACTAACAGGGGGTTCCCATCTCGAAAAAAAAAAGGAAGAGTCTGGACTGCTGGCAAGCTAATAACCGCTGGGAAATCATTAGCAAACAAAGATGCTGTAAAAATGTGCTTACATTTAACAGAACATAGAGTATGAAACAACCCCTCAGAGGGTAAAAGAACTACAACCATGTCTGCTTTCAGCCTAAAA